TCAGAAACATGGGTGCTCTCGAAATTGTACCTTCCAGCAGCCATTCCATCTGGCTGCATCAGAGACTGACTTTCCCCCTTCACTGGTCTAGCTGGGACTATCTGCTATTTGTTTCCTTCCCTCTCCAATCTGTGACCATGGTTGCTAAATTTGTATATTTTCTTTTCTTTTCTTTCCTGTCCCTTTTTCTATCACATCTCTTATTTTGTAAGACATTATTTTGAAATGTAAATTACCTTGAGTGCATTGGCAGAGTGGCAATATATAAATGCAGTTAGTGTGAAAGCAAACAAATACAGTGCCGGCCCTACCATTAGGTGACTTGGGGAGTCATGAAATTATTTAATGTCATTATTTAATGTATTATTGTTGTATTGTTATTTCAAGGAGAGGCACTTGAGGAATATTTATTCCTAAAGCAAGGCACTTTTCTCAGGTGCCAAAGTAATATGGCTAGCTGTGGGCAATCTATGCACCTCCCTGACAGGAACAGTAGGGAAGTGCTATTTGCTGCTCTGCCTCGGGCAGCAAAATGTATTGGACGTGTCATGCATGCATGCATACATAAAGGTGGGTACATTAGGGGTAGTCAGTGTGGTGCCTTCCAGATGTTCTGGATCACAACTCCCATCTTCTGGATTACAACCCCCATCATCCTTGTCCATTGGCCATGCTGACTCAGGCTGCTGGGAGCTGTATTCCAAAACACCTGGTGGGCACCATGTTGGCTACCACTGTCATGCATGGTTTGAAGCAGGGAGGTGGGGTGAGTTTAAATGGGGCACCTGATCAATGAACTACTGTCAGTGTAATGTTGCACACAATATGCCTCTAAGATCTGTGTAGTAGCATAATCAGGGCTGGAAGAACTCAGACACCCAGCAGCCAAAGCTGAATTCCACCTTGCCCTGGTGATCCTCACCTGTGCCCCCTGCGATCCCTGCTCAACAGGTGTGGTGTTCCCCCTTCTTTCTGTACCTGGCAATTAAGAACAGCTTGGAACAGGACAGCGCCACATTCTAATAAGGATGTTTCTGTCTGTTCAGGAGCAGCAGCTTGGTGAATAATGAGGAACCCAGCAATTCAGTGCACCGTGACTTAAACAGTTTACTTATTGCAGCAGAGCCAGCAATGAGAGTTGTTAAATCCTGCATGACATTTACCTTAATTCCACAATATAATTAATTAACTCTCCATAATCCAAATGCAATTAGCAAGATCTCCGACTGCGCCTCTTAATTGTTCTGTGTGCTATTAGCCAAGTGACTGCAAGTGACACTTTTCTTGCGCAGTGTCGTGCCCTGGTGTCCTCTGTGCTGCCGCCTTGCCTGGCTCCTTTCTCCTGCGCATGGACCTTTCTCCTAAGCCTACCATGTTGAAGGAAGCCTTATTGATTGCAGTGGGATTTATTTTCATGTAATGGTCTTAGGCAGGAGGCATAACAAAGCGGTGGTCTGAAGCTAAGATGGGAGATGCTCTGCATCCCATTGCCTAATTCTATACTTTCCTAACTGCATTGCTAACATCGCTAACTGCAATTTTATAAATTAAGCAAGCCAGGCTTTGGGAAGTGAGGTGGTGTGATTTGTTTGAGGTCAGTTTTGTATACGGTACCCACTGCTATTTTACAGTTTTGTTGTTTTTATTATAGTTTGTGCTGGGTTTACTTTCTGCTGGTGCTCTAACTGGTTGTAGAAATATGTCTTGGTAGGTTTTAATATATTCTTCACTCCCCCTGTCATGACTATATGGTGAAGGATAGCACAGAAATATCTAGCTAGATAAATAATTTTTAAAATGCAGAATTTCTATTGATGTGTTTATACTGAGGCTGGGCCAAAATGCTCCCCCGCCCCTTTGCAATTCTACCATTCCATTCCATATGGTAAAAATGCAGAGGAAAATGCTATATGTAGCAACATTTAAGGGGGGTTCTATGGGGAGGGATGACCCAGAGGAATGCCACAGCAGAAAAAGTCAAGCAGGGGACAGTTTTGGCCCTTCTTTGTTGCTGTCTCAGCTCCTTACCTTTTGAGCCCTAGTAGATGCCACGACCGCTCCCTGTTTTAAAATTCAGTTCAACAAGCAAACAAAAGCAAAATGTGCCATCATCATAGACAAACACAATGAAGGGAGAATATATTAATTCCAGCTGATAAATCCCTGGAGGTCAATATGACAAAACTAGTTTAAATCTATATACTCCAGCTTTAGTGAAGCACACACAGCAAGGAGGGTGCACCACTAAGTTAAGCTGAACTTAGTTCCCATTGAAATCAATGGAGCAAGTGATTTATGGCCTTAGTCCATTTGATTTCAGTGGGAACTAAGTAAGGTAAAGGTAAAGGTACCCCTGCCCGTACGGGCCAGTCTTGCCAGACTCTGGGGTTGTGCGCCCATCTCACTCAAGAGGCCGGGGGCCAGCGCTGTCTGGAGACACTTCCGGGTCACGTGGCCAGCGTGACATCGCTGCTCTGGCGAGCCAGAGCCACACACGGAAACGCCGTTTACCTTCCCGCTAGTAAGCGGTCCCTATTTATCCACTTGCACCCGGGGGTGCTTTCGAACTGCTAGGTTGGCAGGCGCTGGGACCGAGCAACAGGAGTGCACCCCGCCGTGGGGATTCGAACCGCCAACCTTTCGATCGGCAATGCCATTCGGATTTTCCAGTTACTTAATCCACTTTGAGCATTATTTTAAAAAGGTAAAGGTACCCCTGACCGTTAGGTCCAGTCGTGACCGACTCTGGGGTTGCGGCACTCGTCTCGCTTTATTGGCCGAGGGACCCGGCGTTTGTCCGCAGACAGCTTCCGGGACATGTGGCCAGCATGACTAAGCCGCTTCTGGCGAACCAGAGCAGCGTACAGAAACGTCGTTAACCTTCCCGCCAGAGCGGTACCTATTTATCTACTTGCACTTTGACATGCTTTCGAACTGCTAGGTGGGCAGGAGCTGGGACTGAGCAACAGGAGCTCACCCCATTGCGGGGATTCGAACCACCAACCTTAAGATCGGCAAGCCCTAGGCTCTGTGGTTTAGACCAGAGCACCACCCGCATCCCTTGAGCACCATTTACTTTAATTTGTTTTTAAAATCCCGGTTTTTTAGACATCCATTTGGTACCTGCTGGTTACCAGGAGTTTCTTGCAAAGATTGCTCTGCTAGGTGGACCTTGACAAGACTGCCTATATTTTTAAGCAGGAACTCATACAAACCACAGATGGTGGGCTACATAATTATTTTTTAATTGAGAATATTTAAATGCCTTTCAACAGAAAAGCAGCTTGCATAATAAAATTAATTGGGTAACCATTGACTCATCTTAAGTTTTTGCTAGTGCTTATCTACCATTATTTTCCTTGAGCAGGATGCTTCTTGAATCCCATAGACCTCACTGGGCAAATAGTTTCAACAGTTCTCAGCTCTGCAGCCCTCATCACAGAGCTTCAACTAAACTAATTCAGATTAACCAATTCACTGAATTAATTAAAAAAGCAACCCTCTGAATTACACATAAAAATAATTCCTGTAATTTCCAGGTAAACTGAAAGTGGAGAAAGTCTCTTCCATGATGAAACTCTGGGCAATTTTTAATTCAATTTCAATTCAATAATCTTTATATGTAGGAATTTCATTGCACTGCACTCTGCTTGGTTGTGGCCACTGCATTTACTATTTGTACCTATCAGAAAAGGGATGCTGTCGCTTAAGTTAAAAATATCATAAATGCTGAAACAATAAATATAAAACAATTGCTTTATTTGGCATCACCCTGTGTAGGAGCTTTGATGTTTTCTTTTTCTTCTCACGTATATTTCATACTTTTACAGTATAGTTTAAAATCCTGAAAGCTGGGGGGAAATGCCACAGGCGACATGAATTAATTGTGAATTGAACTGTGGATGGAATTAGTTCCTTTTTGAAGGAGGTGAACTGGAACTGATTCCTTTTTAAAATGAACTTTCCACACGCTGCTCATACTTGGGACTTGCTGTGGTGTACTTCCCAAAGAAGTTGGCCACCATTGCAAGATTGTCTATTTCACAAGAACCATGTGCCTTCTAAGTCCTCTTTCCAGTACACATCCAAAGGTCTGGACATCATCCGTAGCTGTCAGTAAAGGTCAAAGCCATTTTATGGAATTTCCCTATTCAGTGCCTGCCTCTGTGGCCTGCCTGCTTTTCCATTCCCAAACAGCTAAGGATTGTTTTGTACTATACAACCCAATCTATAGCAGATTGATGAGTCAATCTATTGATTCATCCTACGCCTGAATTCCTCCAAACTTGCTTGGGTCTTGGCCAAATCCAGTTCAAAACTGCTGGGCATTGGAAATGGGGAAAGTGTTGTTACATTTAAGTCTGACTTGCATCTGGTTGGCCACTGTTAGAGCAGGATACTGAGCTACATGGGCCTTTGGCCTGATTCTGCAGGGCATTTCTTATGTGATTACCTTAAAAGCCTTAAATGGATTAGGACCTGGGTACCTTCTCTCTTATGTAACCCTATGTGTTGTTCAACATCTAAGGCCCTTCTCCATATTCCCTTGATGACTGAAGCATGGTAGGTGTCCATGAGGACTAGGGACTTCTCGGTCATAGCATCAGTGCTCTCCAATGAAGCCTGAGCCTGAAAACTGAGCTCTTCTAGATGCTTGGTGAACATCTGCTGATTTTTGTTTGTTTTGAAAGAGAGTAGGTATGGTATCATAGAATTACAGGATTGCAGAGTTGGAAGGGACCATGAGGAAAATTTTGCCCAACATGGGCCTTGAACCCACAACCCTGAGATTAAGAGTTTCATGCTCTACCAACTGAGGATCTATCAATCTCAGTTCTTTCAATTTCTCATTTTTCCAGGCTTAAATTCAGTTCTCAGTATTTCTTCAGCAACATCCTTGTTTTTAAATCCTTGGGATAATCTTCAGCATTTTAGTGCAATCTTCTCCTAAGAAACACATTTTTGGATGCAGTTTTGACTAACGTACACATTTTTACAAGCATTTTACCTTAATATAATGCATTTTAGTATGTTATTTTAACCAATGTTTTCATTTTCAATTCCACTTTCCCCTAATATATGCCTTTCCATGAAGAGATGCATGACAAAGTTCAGGTAAGTGTGAACTTCAAAGGGTAGTTGTAGTTTGGTTCTCAAATCATTTGGGAAAGTGAATTTGATAAATTCAGCTTCAAATGCAAACTGAATTTCTCTCCCATCCCTAAAGGAAAGGCCTTTATCAGTGACTGCTTTATGTTTGGTTTAGCTTTTCCTACTTCTCTATTATTCCCATTTTCTACTGATCTGTTGCTGCTGCTTTCCTTTTTATTTGACTGATTGTTTAAACAGTTGCAGCCTGCTTTTGTTTGCTGCTCGATAGGTGCTTACTGTTTTTAATGGATTTTGTCATTAGCTGCTTTGAGTTCTTACAAAAGAGAAGGTGAGGGACATGCATTTTTACAATAATAAAATAAAATCCATCTCCATCAGATCATTTGGGTCACACTTTTTTTTTTTAAAGGAAGTAACAACCACTTGAATTACAAACTAGTGGTGCCACTTTAGCCTAATTAATTGTATGTTCACAAGTTATTTTAAGTGCTTGAAACAAGCAAGCAAACAAATTACAATTCCTGTGAAAACAGCTAAAGAAGGAATCCACAACCCACTTCTCCTTTTTGGTTTAATTTTTTTAAAATACCACTTTCTATGCTGCCCCAGAACATCAAGTTCTCTGGGGGGCTTATAATAAACATTAAAACACAAAGCCCTAAAATCAAAAGCAACATAAAGACCTGGGTCTCTCATGCCATGAAAAACCCAAACTATGGGCTTCCAGGAAGGAGCTTTTGTAGGTTGTTTCGAATGCTGCATCAAACTGAGCTAAGCAGTGGTTTGGCTTAGTGCATCATCTGAACTGGCACTCATGGCTGCAGCCTATGGTTTATGAGGAGGGAGTTAAATCCCGAGTCTCCTTTTGGATGGTGTGCTAAGCCAAATTTTGCTTTAGCTCAGTGCAGTGTGGCAGTAAAAAGGAGCAGCGAGGAGCAAAGCTTGTATGAGCGTCTCTCCAGAAGTGTGCATGTTTGCATTGTTTGACTCGTTGCACTGTGCAAAACAGGACAAGAAAACAAAGCTAACTGGAGCCCCAAAGTTATAGCACAAATTTACATGTTACATGGGATGCCTAGGATCACAGAAATGGCACAGAGTACTGTAGATGAGTGTGCCAAGCACTCAAAGCTACTCTTCAATAACATGGACACACTCATGGAAATAAAACAGTTTTAATAGGTGGTCCAACATGCAGCCCAAGAGCCTCATGTGGCCCTCAGTGCCTTTTTGGTAGCCCTCAGCAACATTTGACATCCCCCTCCCCACCAGCCCTCGCTCTGCCTTCCCAAAACTGAATAAGCAAGGTGCTGGGCTTTGGGAAGGCAGCATGATGGCTCTGACAGGGTCCTAGAGTCCTCCAGCCTCATTCCCAAAGCCTAGTTAGCACTTTCTCAGCTTTGGGAAGAAGATGGGAGGGCTCTGGGACCCTGCCAGAGCCTTGCACCTCCTTAAGAAGGCAGTGTGAGGGCTGTGGGGCATAAGAGTTTGGCCTCCCTCCCTCAACAAGGTAGCGTGTGGCCCACAGGCTCTGTGCTGAAATACTCTTGTAACCCACTTGGTATGAAAAGTTGGGCTGCCCTGAAACAGAAGATTACACACATCTCTAAGGTGAATTGACTTCCTTCCATCTTTTTCTGAATCCTGTTTTTCCAGGGAGAAACACATCCATGGTTAAGATTCATGTAGAAAATATACAAAAGAAGTTTCCTTTCTTCTTTCAAAACTTTACCATCCATTTGAGACATTCTAAGATGGTTCTGCGACAAAGAACATGACCACTTGACTTTCTACTTGTAGTTCAATATTCAGCAATCCTCACTTTGCAAATGGTATAGCAGAGTTTGTACTGAGTTATTCTTGAAAAGAAATTTAGATTGCAATAACCCATTTATCAATGCATATGGAATGCTGCTGCAGTTACAATAGGGATGCGCCCTACTGAATGTATCCATTGACCTTTATTGATGTTAATAATACAAGATATCCCATGTTATATAAAGGAAATCTTATGGGGTTAAAAACAACAACTAGGAAGCAAGAGCAGACAATGATAATAGATCACAGCTCAGCCTTGCTCTACTATGAAAAATAGCTGGACTCTATAGATATGTAATGATTTCTCCAAACCCTCTGTATAATCTGGATCTGCTTTTCTGGTGCTGAGCTCCATAGCAACAGAGCAGCCTAGGGACACAGACCAAAGCAGCCCATGTTGACAAGCTCCGTGTCAACTTTGTCCGCTGCTTTTTCTAATCCTTTGTTTGCAGCCTTTCTGTCAACTGGGACAAGGAAGCCAGGGGCCATCCAAACAAACCATCTTTCACTTGAAGGTTTGCAGAAGCAAGGGCTTTTCTTCTTCTTTTGGAAATTGCATTGCTATAGAAATAATGCAGACTAGCATAAGAACGATGCGGGTGGCGCTGTGGGTTAAACCACAGAACCTAGGGCTTGCCGATTAAAAGGTCGGTGGTTCGAATCCTCATGACGGGGTGAGCTCCCGTTGCTCGGTCCCTGCTCCTGCCAACCTAGCAGTTCAAAAGCACGTTGAAGTGCAAGTAGATAAATAGGTACCACTCCGGCGGGAAGGTAAACTGAGTTTCCCTGCGCTGCTCTGGTTCGCCAGAAGCAGCTTAGTCATGCTGGCCACATGACCCAGAAGCTGTACGCTGGCTCCCTTGGCCAATAAAGCGAGATGAGTGCCGCAACCCCAGAGTCGTCTGCGACTGGAGCTAATGGTCAGGGGTACCTTTTAAGAACACAAGAAAGGTCCTATTGGAGATGGTCAAAGGCCCACCTAGTCCAGCATATGGTTATCAGAGTGGCCAGTTGACTCTAGGAAGCCCACAGGCAAGACCTGTCACCTGAATGATTCCCCGCAACTAGTATACAGTATAGACAGTATGCAACAATGGAGGCAGAACATTGCCTTTGTGGCTACTAGCCATTGATAGGCTTATCCTCCACGAATTGATCAAATATTCTGTTAAAGCCATCCAAGTTGGTGACCCTCTTGTTTGAGCAAATTCCACACTCTAACTCTGAATTGTTTGGAAAAGTGCTTTTCACTGTGTAAATAAGGAGCAAATGATGTCTGCTTAAAATATATGTACCAGTATATACTCAAGGATTTCAGTTTTTTTGCCCTGGCTGCAATTCCATCCATCCTTGATGTTTAAGTTCATGGATTGCTTTGGCTTAATGACAAGTTCATTACCAGACCACGCATCTCTATGTAGATTTTAACTTCATATCCATGTTTTACTTCAGTAAGTAGACTCTGCAGTTAACACATTTAATTGCTGGATGCATGAAATTCTACTGCGTGTGAATGTAACTGCTCACAGTTTTGCGGTAGCTTTTATTACCTTTCCAAGTTCCTGGGGTTTTTTTTAATTTAAAAAATGGGATTCGGATCAATAGCGGTAAAGGGAGGGGAGGTGTGATGCACGACTGCAAGCTTCACTGGCTATCATTTAGCATCCAAAGGGATTTATGCCTTTTTTGCTTAACAGCTTTGTCTTCTGCTTGCTAAGAATGGGGCTCCGCTACACGGAGAAGGATGCCCTTAAAAAAAGGAGGCTCTGCTATGATGGTTCTGCCTGCCTGCTCTCCTGGGGTGTGCAAGTGGATTTCAGCCACACAACACTGGCCAGTCTTCTAGGAAACTTGCTTTTCTGGGGAAGCTTTGCTAATCTGAGATCTCTGCAGCATTTGAGTCCATGTGTGTGCTGTTGACTGCTAGCTATACCATTGGCCCCACTTATTTATTATGGAATTTGTATTGCCAGCTCTTAACCTATATATATGCTCTTTGAGTGGCTCACAGAGGCAGGCATTGTTTACCAGGTACTGATTCAATTTCTGTGGTGAATGAGTCATACGCCCCTTTTTTTGATGGAGGAAGTAATACCAGTTGCTAGGAATCACTGCTGTTCTCATGTTCGGCTGGCAGGATTCCCATAGGCATCTCTGATTGACCCTTGTGTGAACAAGATGCTAGATTAGATAAGTCTTTGGGCTGATACAACAGGGCTCTACCTAATGTTGTTTGTAATGGGGACACTCGAGCCTGAGTTACTTATGAATCTCCTCTCTGAATTCTAAAAAAGAATTCTTAAAAACATTGAAATAGATTTTTATATTGTTTTAATTCTAATATAGTTGATTATCTGTTAATGATTATACTTTGCATATGTTTGGCTTCCTGTGTTTTATCCATATTGTTTTAATTTTTGTCTCAGTTTTTTTTTGGGGGGGGAGTGGGATATAAATAAATATAATAGTACAGTGGTACCTCAGGTTACGTACACTTCAGGTTACATACGCTTAGGTTACAGACTCCGCTAACCCAGAAATAGTACCTCGGGTTAAGAACTTTTTGCTTCAGGATGAGAACAGAAATCGTGCTCTGGCGGCACGGCTGCAGTGGGAGGCCCCATTAGGTAAAGTGGTGCTTCAGGTTAAGAACAGTTTCAGGTTAAGAATGGACCTCCAGAACGAATTAAGTACTTAACCCGAGGTACCACTGTAGTAGTAAATAAATAAATAAAAATTTGAGTGAATGAGCTCCTGCATATTCAGATATTCATAGGTCATGGCTGTGTCACACATTGCATTAGCAATGTGGTTGGGTGAGGTGGTGACAGGTGCCTGGAACTGGATTACTCCTATGGAGGTATAACAAGTCATTCAAAACAGTGTTGATCTTAACAGTCAGGTGGATTTACTTGGATTAGCCTGTCGTGCATCATGCTTCATTGACAGGCCTCTAATGAGCAAAATGTTTGTTTGCTAATAATTATTTGAAATTAGGCTCAGAGCCTTGGAGCATATATTTTTGTGCTGTATAGCTACATCAAAAGAAATGAAAAACGGAAATAAACATTTCGGACAATTGTGAAAATGATACTTACTCGGGTATGACCTCAGTGCTGTTTTTCTTTTTCCTTAGAAAGCCCAACTACAAAGGTTTCCAACACTGGCAAGCAAAAGAGAAAAAAAACCGGCTTGCAAGAAATTGATGTCAAAAAATCAGGATAACATTGATTTTATGTCAAAGTGACAGCATGAACAGAGCTACTTAAAAAAGGGGGACTCAGTTTAATTACATGTCTAAGACTGAAACCCTGTACAGACTAACCTTTGATTTAAGCCCCTTTGAACTCAATGGACTTACTTCTGAGTAAACATGTATAGAATTGTGCTGTAAACCCTTAGTTTTACTGAAATGACTAATGAAGTGATTTTGATAGCTCTTGCTTTTGGAGAATGAGACACAACTTAGGCATGCTAAATTAACTGTAGTCAAGTGACTCTTATTCTAACTCCTAGAAGACTCTCATACATAAATTCATCTGCATCTCCAAAGTGCTGGAGGAAGTTCAGAAATTGGATCGTACCTCCACCCATAGTGAGGTTGTACTAGATTGCAAGAACTTTGGGCAATGGTATTCTGAGAAAGAAGTGCCACATTATACCAACTTCTCAATTACGCAGGTGGCGCTGTGGGTTAAAGCCTCAGCGCCTAGGGCTTGCCGATCGAAAGGTCGGCGGTTCGAATCCCTGCGGCGGGGTGCGCTCCCGTCATTGGGTCCCAGCGCCTGCCAACCTAGCAGTTCGAAAGCACTTCAAAGTGCAAGTAGATAAATAGGGACCGCTTACAAGCGGGAAGGTAAACGGCGTTTCCGTGTGCGGCTCTGGCTCGCCAGAGCAGCGATGTCACGCTGGCCACGTGACCCGGAAGTGTCTCCGGACAGCGCTGGCCCCCGGCCTCTTGAGTGAGATGGGCGCACAACCCTAGAGTCTGGCAAGACTGGCCCGTACGGGCAGGGGTACCTTTACCTTTTTTTATCTATATGTATCAAGCATAACAAAAAATTGTATAATAAAGACTTGATAGTGCACCTGCTTATAGCAGCTAGAATTACCACCAGCTTTGGAAAAATGTAGACAGGGCCAGTCTTACTACTCGGTACACTAAAGTGTGGGATAATGCCCTACCAGAAAAAAAAACTAACCAATAAGCTGAGAGTCCTTAGGGGCTAAAGGAAAAAGGATGCTTTCATACCTGTTTGGTCTGACTTTATTTTGTTTGCAAGCAGGGAGAAACATGGCCAAGGAGCCATGTTTCCCTCCCCCCTGGCCATCAACCTATGACTGAATATGGCTCATAAAGTGACTCAGGACATTTGAATACTTTAATTACTTTCCCTCACTATAATAGGGTTCATGTTTTGTAAGCGTGTCTTGTTTTACCATTATGTCCGTTATGAATAGTTCTAGTCACTACCTTTCTTGCATTCACATATCTGTTTATTTATTTTGGTTTTATTTTACGTCTGTATTTGTTCAACAGTGATCTATAATTGTATGTGGTATAGTTTGTGTGTGTGTGTGTGTGTGTGTGTGCGCGCGCGCACACACACACACACACACACCTCTTGTTCTGTTGAAATCAACAGGGCAGAACTGGCTTATATCCAATTACTTGAATCTAAAACATTACTGCTAAACTGAGAAAAGTGGGTTGTGTGGTAGCCGAAAAAAGACCAGGTACAGTGGTACCTCGGGTTACAAACACCTCAGGTTACAGACTCAGCTAGCCCAGAAATAGTACCTCAGGTTAAGAACTTTGCCCCAGGATGAGAACAGAAATCGCGTAGCGGCAGCGGGAAGCCCCATTAGCTAAAGTGGTACCTCAGGTGAAGAACGGTTTCAGGTTAAGAATGGACCTCCGGAACCAATTAAATTCGTAACCAGAGGTACCACAGTATAGGCATTATACTTTCTCCCTGATTTTGGCAGATAAGAACAGTGCATTATTCAGCAGATGACCATATCTATCAGTTCATGCTATGTAGAACACAAGTAAACAAGGCAGATACATTGAATTCTCCAACTTGTGAATAGTGCTTAATTTAGAGGCTTATCAAGTTGATAGTTAGATTGCAACACGAATGCCCTTTTGTTTGACGTGGGAGAAGTATGCTTTGCCACCACAAAATATCAGATAAAAGACTGGTTCTTTGCCAAAAGCATAGTGCCCCTGGATCTTTTTGTGTTTTGGATTCACTTGCATAGGATTCAGATCCTAAACAGACCCAACCATATGCAGAAATCATTTCTTCTCTTAATCCACCCTTTTCAGAAAATCCAATGATGGCAGGTGTCAACAAAGGATTAATTCACTGAATTACAGGAGGAGGAACACCATAGCTCCAAGATTTTACAGTTATTAGGACATTGAAATTGCAATTAGAAAATGACCTCAAGTAAAAAAGGTAAAGATAAAGGACCCCTGGACAGTTAAGTCCAGTCAGAGGTGACTATGGGGTTGTGGTGCTCATCTCACTTTCAGGCTGAGGGAGCCAGCATTTGTCTACAGACAGTTTTCCGGGTCATGTGGCCAGCATGACTAAACTGCTACTGGCACACGGAGGACCGTGATGAGTGCCAGAGCGCATGGAAACGCCATTTACCTTCCCGCCGCAGTGGTACTAGAAAACTGTCTGTGGACAAGCGCCGGCTTCCTTGGCCTGAAAGCGAGATGAGCGGCGCAACCCCATAGTCACCTTTGACTGGACTTAACCATCCAGGGGTCCTTTACCTTTTTTACCTCAAGTACACTTTCCACACAATGGTTCCAACCAATAAATATTTGAGTGGACTCAAGGTTGCTTTGCCAATAAACAATAGTTGTAGTCCAGAATACATGAACTCCTGACTGAGCAAATGCATCATGCACCTGATGAAGTGGGCTCTTGTCCATGAAAGCTTACAGTGGACGCTCGGGTTGCGAACGCGATCCGTGCGGGAGGCACGTTTGCAACCCGCAGTGCCACGTCTGCACACGCGCGGGTTGCGATTTGGCACTTTTGCACACATGCAAGTGCCAAAACCCGGAAGTAACGGTATTTCTGGGTTCGGTGCAGTGCGCAACCCGAAAATGCGCAACCTGAAGCACCTGTAACCCGAGGTATGACTGTAAATGTGTTATTTTCAAAAGTCTAACAGGACGCTTCTGTTGGTTTCCCTGTTCACTTTCAGTCTGAAGGGCACTAGCTCCTTGCATGCATTTCCTTGTTTGGTATAGGGCTGCCCCTTCCACTGAGGTGAAAATGAAAATTTTCATTGGTAGAGGAACTCCACACATGCTTGGTCATCCGTAAGCCATAAGCCCATGAAATTGGGGCAAGTAACTGCAGTAAGATCTCTTAAGGCAGAAAGCAAGTGTCTGTGACCTAAAGGAGGGGGTGGGAAACCATCAAAGTAGATGTGTGGAAGGGCACTCTCTATAATTTCCCTTTCTATAATTTCCCTTTTCTCTTTTATTTCCTTCCATCTGGGAACAAAACTCCATAGTTTTCTCCCTAGTTTGCATGTGTGTCTGTTTGTGACCTTTGGACCATGCCTTCGGCAGTCCATCCCTGGGACACCCCCCCCTTCCGGTCCTACTACTGTTGGAGTAAGGGCAGATGGAGCACGTCAGCTTGGGAAGGTAGCCCCTCTAGGATAAGGCAATGTTGATCCTGAACCTATGTTGCCTTGTGGGATATCTTCAGGAGAAGAAAAGGCGAAGGAGTAAACCCTACACAAATCCGGTGGAGTCCCCAGGACGGTTGGATGGTGTCTTGTATGCCTCCTCCTGGCAACTCCTACTGCCCAGCTGGTGCCAAACATATTGCTCTACTTTCATTTGGACCACATCAGTGAAGTTGGGGTGGGGTGGTGGTGGTCTGGTCGTCTGGGACAGCCCAGGACCTCCATACACACTGCCCAGGCTTGTGTCCCAGAGAGATCATTTTGGTGCTGCCAATTGGTTTGATTTGACTGGAGTGTCCCAGAGATGCGCTCCATTGTCTCGTGAGACAGACAGATGCCAACAAAACAACAATATTGAAATTCCAACATCAGTAGGACAAGGGTTGCAGAACCTTCCAGCAGGGAGGGGATATCTGACATAGGATTTCCTTTCCAGTGTTTGACCACTCACTCCACCCACTGCACCATGCTTCCTATTTCCTCCTGGGATCACAGGATTGCAGGACCACAGGATTGTAGGGCCCCAGCTAATGTAACAAAGCACACTGGCCGTTCTTAAGCCTATGATCTTGCATTTCATTGTGCAGGTACATCATTAGCCACTCGGGACTTGGCAGCACATGAAATGTAACAGTATTTTGTGTCTCCGAACAGTTGGCACTTCCATCACGGAACCGACACAGAACAGCACCTGTGTGTGTTCCACAAAAGAATGAGGCTGCTTTGTTTCTACTTTTCGTATGTTTTATTATAAAGAAAGGTAAGATAAGCATTGTGAGCCAAAATGTGCAGGTACTGCATAAACAGCACCACAAAGAAAATAAAAAATAATAATTAAAAAAAGAAAAACCATGGAAAACGCACTTTTCATAAACTGTAATCTGCTTTCTAATTTTTTCATAAATAGACAAAAATCCTTGTCAGCAATTTTAAATAGATGGACATATGGCTGAAAAAAATATAATAATGCCATATAACATGGATATAAACTGTCCATTTCTTGCTGTACAAATAATAGAAACGAGTTTGGCAGGGTTTTTTTTTCCGTTTGTTTCTTTTTATACACATCTCCATTCTATGTATAACTAAAAAAATGTGCTACAATTAATATAAAATGCTTTTACTATAAAGTAAACTACTAATTTCTTCCACAAAAAAATCTTAAAGATGTCTTTAGCACAGTTCTAAAACATTTATTAAGCTACTTACAACTATCCAACAAATTATATTTTTCATGGTCTTTTCACATTGTTTCCCTCTCATATTTGCACTTCTGCTTCCCATCTGCTCTGTCCACCTAACCTCCAAACAACAGGTTCTAATTTTTAATTTTTAAATTTAATTTTTTTTGCCAGACATCTGAGGCCTTTCGCATGTACAATATTCACAACAGACTTCACATTTGTCTTGCACAAAGGTTAGTGCCATTTAGCAAGTCATCGAAAGAGTGCCTCCTCCTGATGAGCCAAGCCTAATGCCTCTGAGCGAGCGCGGCGCCCGGGTCTGTGCTGAATCTAAAAAGCAGTTCGCTAGGAAAATGGTCCATAGCTAAGCTGGTGGCAAGCAGAGAAAGGCGCGCGGGGCAGGCAGGTGGAGTTGGGGGGGGTGGTCCTTTGTAAATTTTGTTCTTTGTGATTTATGCAAGGTTGGCTTCCATGTACAATAGGACTTCGGAGAAGAAGGAGGAAGGGAGGGAGGAGGAAGAGGAGA